AATGTGCCCTTCCTGTTAACTATAGAAAATGTAACAGCTCAGATCCTGTTCAGGGCGTCTGTGATGATGAGAGGCACCATAATGTAACATGCTCATTACTGGCCAGCTGAGGAAAATCTGTCTTTCCTTCCAATTCAGTCCCAAGCTCAACATTTTCCTCTTCCATATTCTATAGTTTCTGGAATCCACATTGAAATGATGATTATAAATGTCTTTTTAAATGCATCTACCTGCATGTAAGGAACTACCTGCCTTGTAATTGTCCTTTTAAGCCTTACTTCAAAAGAGCTGACAATGCCAAAAAGATCTTCTTTAATTTCCAAAACACCAACTGATATAGGGGAACGCTGTATGTATCAAATAAGCAAATATAGATTAAGTGCATGGTTAAGTGCATGGATCACATGAAAAACCAGCTTTTATTCCGGGGACTTAGTTTGTCCAAGAAACTGCAGATTGTCTACCACAATTTGTTGTTTCCTATTTCTACAGTAATTAAATGGTGACTGGACAACTGGCTACCTAACTATGGACTAATTTTACTACCCTTGCAGTTAGATTTGACCTAAGGCTCACTTTTCACCAAAGAGGTGAGTGGAAGTGATGATTGCTACATCTAATGGTACTGGTACCAAAACAGAGATACAGACCAATGGAACAGAACAGAGGCCTCGGAAGTAATGCCACACACATTTGTCAAGGATCTAGAACCACACATCTACAACCATCTGATCTTTGACAAATCCACCAAAAACAAGCAATGGGGAAAGGATTCCCTATTTAATAAATGGTGTTGGGAAAACTGACTAGCCATATGCAAAAAGCTGAAACTGGACCCCTTTCTTACACTTTATACAAAAATTAACTCCAGATGGACTAAAGATTTAAACATAAGACCTAACACCATAAAACCCCTAGAAGAAAACCTAGGCAAAACCATTCAGGACATAGACATAGGCAAGGACTTAATGACTAAAACACCAAAAGCAATGACAACAAAAGCCAAAATAGAAAAATGAGATCTAATTAAACTTAACAGTCTCTGTGCAGCAAAAGAAACTATCATTAGAGTGAACCAGCAACCAGCAGAATGGGAGAAAATTTTTACAATCTACCCTTCTGACAAAGGGCTAATATCCACAATCTACAAAGAACTTAAACAAATTTACAAGAGAAAAAAACAACCTCATCAAAAAGTGGGCAAAGGATATGATGAGACACTTTTCAAAAGAAGACATTTATGCAGCCAACAAACATATGAAAAAATGCCCATCATCACCAGTCATTAGAGAAATGCAAATCAAAACCACATGGAGATACCATATCATGCCAGTTAGAATGTCAATCATTAAAAAAATCTGGAGACAACAGATGCTGCAGAAGATAAGGAGAAATAGGAATGCTTTTACACTGTTGGTGGAACTGTAAATTAGTTCAACCATTGTAGAAGACAGTGTGGCAATTTGTCAAGCATCTAGAACCAGAAATACCATTTGTCCAGCAATCCCGTTACTGGGTATATACCCAAAGGATTATAAATCATTCTATTATAAAGACACATGCACAAGTATGTTGATTGTGGCACTGTTTAGAATAGCGAAGACTTGGAACCAACCCAAATGCCCATCAATGATAGACTGGATAAAGAAAATGTGGCACATATACACCATGGAATACTATGCAGTCATAAAAAGGATGAGTTCATGTCCTTTGCAGGGACATGGATGAAGCTGGAAACCATCATTCTCAGCAAACTGACACAAGAACAGAAAACCAAACACCACATGTTCTCACTTATAAATGGGTGTTGAACAATGAGAACACATGGACACAGGGAGGGGAACACTACACACTGGGGCCTTTGGGAGTTGGGGGTGCTAGGGGAAGGATAGCAGGGGGTGGGGGCATTTGGGATGGATAGCATTAGGAGAAATACCTAATGTAGATGACAGGGGGATGGATGAAGCAAACCACCATGGCATGTGTATACCTATGTAACAATCCTGCACGATCTGCACATGTACCCCAGAACTTAAAGTATAATAATAAAATAAAAAATAAATAAATAATTTTAAAAAGACATCTTAATTCATTCCTGTAGTCCCAGTGCTTTGGAAGGCTGGGGTGGGCAGATTGCTTGAGACTAGACTGGGAAACAACCTGATGAAACTATCTCTACAAAAAATACAAAAATTAGCCAGGTTTGGTGCTATGCACCTGTAATTCCTGCTACTCATACTCAGCAGGCAGGGGTGGCAGGATTGCTTAGTCCAGGAGGTAGAGGTTGCAATGAGCCAAGGTCATGCCACCACACTCCAGCCTGGGTGACAGAGTGAGACCCTGTCTCTCTCTCTCTCTCTCTCTCTCTCTCTCTCTCTCTCTCTTTCACACACACACACACACACACACACACACACACACACAAGAAGAAGAGGGAGGGAGGGAGGGAGGGAGGGAGGGAGGGAGGGATGAAGGAAGGAAGAAAGGAAGGAAGCAAGGAAGGAAGGAAGGAAGGAAACCTTAAGACAGACAGCGTGTCTCCTCCATGCTCTTTCTCACCCTTCTTTCCCACTGGGACCCAGTGTTGACCATGTAAATAACAAGAGACTTTAAACAAGGGTTGGCAAATTGTTTCTGCCACAACTACCGCATTCAACTCTGCCATTAGCACAAAAGCAACCTCAGATGATACATATGGGTGTGACTCTCTTCCAATTAAACTTGGTTTATGGGCACTGAAATTTGAATTTTATAAAACTTTTGTGTGTCATGAAGTAGTATTCTTCTTTCAATTTGTCTTCAACCATTTAAAAATGTAAAAACCATTATTAGTTCACAGGCCATTAAAAAAGCAAGTGCTGAGCCAGATTTGGCCAGCAGAACCTTCTTAGCCAGTATCCTAGGGTATGTTGATCCTGCAAGATGGAATGAACTTGCATCCTTAAAGGTGAACAGAGCCACCCACCAACCTGGAACCCTCACTTTGGACTCTCGCCAGAAAAAAAAAAAAAAATCTGCTTCATTCTTTAAGTAACACTATAGTTAAGTCTCTCTTGTAATAGAGCTTAACATTTTACTTTATCTAATATATAGTCCTTAACTCCTGACTATTCAGACCATAGCCCCCTTCCATAGTCCTCACCACTGTTCTTTTACTTTTTTTATTTCAATTTTTATTTTAGATTCAGGGGGTACATGTGCATATTTGTTACAAGGATGTATTGTGGGATGTTGAGGTTTGGACTTCTATTCATTCTGTCATCCAGATAGGAACATGGTACCCAATAGGCAGTTTTTCAGCCATTTGCCCCTCCCTTTCTCCCTCCTTTTGGGGTCTCCAGTATCTCTTACTCCCATCTTCATGTTTGTCCCATGTACCCAAGATTTAGCTCCTACTTACAGGTGAGAAAATGAAATATTTGATTTTTAGTTTCTACATTAATTTGCTTAGGATAATGGCCTCCCTCTACATCTATGTTGCTGCATATAATACAATTTCATTCTTTTTCGTGACTGCATAGTATTCCATGGTGTATGTGTACTGCATTTTCTTTATTCAATCTACCATTGATGGACACCTTGGTTAATTCCATCTCTTTGTTACTGTGAATAGTGTCATGATGACATACAAGTGCATGTGTCATTTTTTATAGGACAATTTATTTTACTTTGGGTGTATACCTAGTAATGGGATTGCTAGCTTGAATTATAGTTATATTTTTAGTTCTTTAAGAAATCTTCAAACTGCTTTCCACGTGGCTTTACTAATTTACACTCCCACCAACAGTACATAAGCATTGCCTTTTCTCTGCAACCTCGCCAATATCTGTTATTTTTTGACTTTTTGATAATAGCCATTCTAACTGGTGTGAGATAGTATCTCATTATGGTTTTCATTTGCATTTCTCTTATGATTAGTGATGAGAATTTTTTCATATGTTTGTTTACAACTTGGATATCTTCTTTTGAGAAGTGTCTGTTCATGTCCTTTGCCCACTTTTTAATGGGGTTGTTTTTTTCTTGTTGATTTAAGTCCCTTATAGATTCTGGATATTAAACATTTCCCAGATGCATAGTTTGTGAATATTTTCTTCCATTTGGTAGATTACCTGTTTATTGTGTCAATAGTTTATTTTACTGTGCAGAAGCTCTTTAATTAAGTCCCATTTGTCAATTTTTGTTTTCATTGCAATTGCTTTTGAGAACTTAGTAATAAAATCTTTCCCAATACCAGTGCCCAGAAGTGTATTTCCTAGGCCTTCTTCCAGGACTTTTTTATAGTTTGAGGTCTTACATTTAAGTCTTTAATCCATCTTAAGTTAGTTTTTGTATATGGTGATAAGTAGAGGTCCAGTTTCAATCTTCCGCATATGGCTAGCCAGTTTTCCCAGCACCATTTATTGAATAGGGAATCTTTTCTCCATTGCTTATTTTTTGTCTACTTTTTCAAATATCAGTTGGTAGCAATGTGAAGCTTTATTTCTGGGTTCTCTATTCTGTTCCATTGGTCTATGTGTCTGTTTTTATACCAGTACCATGTTGTTTTGTTTACTGTAGCCTTATAGTATAGTTTTAAGTCAGATAATGTAATGCCTCCAGCTTTGTTCTTTTTGCTTAGGATTGCTTTGGCAATTTGGGATCCTTTTTTGCTTTCATATGAATTTTAGAATAGCTTTTCATGGTTCTGTGAAAAATGACATTGATAGTTTGATAGGAATAGCATTGAATCTGTAGATTGCTTTGGGTAGTACTATCATTTTAATGATATTGATTCTTTCAGTCTGTGAGCATGGAATGTTTTTTCATTTGTTTGTGTCATCTCTGATTTCTTTTAGCAGTGTATTGTAGTTCCCCTTATAAATATCTTTCACCTCCTTGGTTAGTTGTATTCCTAGGTATTGTTCTTTTTGTGGCTGTTATAAATGGAACTGCATTCTTGATTTGGTCTCAACTTAAATGTTATTGACCAACCTCTTTTTAAATATCCAAGGCAAGGAAACTGGGTTCCCATCTGCCTCCTCACTGTCCCTTCCAAAACTTGAGAGAAAAGACTCTACCCAGAGCTCCCTTCACCTCCTTGTTCCTAAGGCTGTAGATGAGAGGATTGATCATGGGCGTGACAATGGAGTAGAAGACAGATACCACCTTGTTGAAGTTGATGGAAGAAGTCACCTTGGTCCGAACATACATAAAAAAAAGAGTGCCATAGAAGAGGCTCACCACCATCAGGTGAGCTGCACAGGTAGAGAAGGCCTTCTGGCGCTCGGCAGCTGAGCGGATGTGCAGCAGTGTCCAGACAATGTTGCCATAGGACACAACAATGACCACAGAGGAGTCCAGTAGCACAGCCAGAGACACCAGAAAATCCACAGTCTCATTCCAAGTGACATCTGAGCATGACAAGGCTAGCAAGGGTGCAGCATCACAGAAGAAGTGGTCAATGACATTTGGGCCACAAAATGTCAGCTGAGACATGAGGTAGATTGGAAAGATGGGTGTGAGAAAGCCTACCAGCCAACAAGCAGCTGCCAGACGGATGCAGGTGCCCCAGGACACCAAGGCCCCATAGTGAAGAGGCATACAAATGGCCACATAACGGTCATAGGCCATGGCAGCCAGTAAGAAACACTCAGTTGCCCCAAGGAAGGTGAAGATAAAGAGCTGGGACAGGCAGCCAGCATAAGAGATATTCTTGCCACCATCCACGCAAATAAAACCAGCCAGCATCTTGGGCACTGTAACAGAGGTATACCAGATTTCAAGGCAGGACAAGTGTGTCAGGAAGAAATACATGGGTCTCCGCAGTCGGTGGTCCAAGCCCACCACTAAAATGATGGCCAAATTCTCCACCAAGGTGAACAGGTATATGGTGAGGAAGAGTGTGAAGAAGAGGAGGTGTGCTTCACGGCTGCCAGCAAAGCCCATCATGACAAACTCACTTACCTGGGTCCAGTTTTTGGTATATGGCTGCATATGTGGCAGTAAGAGCTCAGCAAACTCATAGCCTCTTAGAGGATGAAAGCTCAAAGAGAACCTGTGAGGTTGGAGGATGTGGTACTCAAATGCCTTTCACTTCAGAAAAGAAACATGATGTCAAGACACTGTTCTAACCCTCAAAGAATTTACAGTCCATGAGGGACATGCAAAAACCAGTCTTGAGAAATCTTCCTGGGAGGAAAACTGTCTAAAGCTGAACCTGAAAAGGAAGTATAAGTTAGTGAGACAAAAGGCAGAGATAGAGAGAAGACATAGCAAGTATAAGATTCCAAGCACCAGAGAGGAGATTGTGCATTTGGGAAACTTCAACTAGAGAGAGTTTACCATAGAGTTCAAGGGCTTGATTTCCAAGCAAGCATACCTGGCTTCAAATAAAAGAGAGCCTAACAGAGCTGTTGTGAAAACGTAAATTGGATAATTCCTGTAAAGCGCTTAGAATTATGTTTGAGTAGGTAAATGTCCAAGGGGAAATCTACATGTTGACGTCTCCTGGAATAAAATATAGAGAGAAAATGACTGTTTCTGAGCCTGAGGAGTAGGTGAGACACCACGAGGGGCTAGCAACCAAATTAAGGGAAAGAAAGAAGCTGAGTTTCAGTCTGAAGGCTACAGGGAGCCTTTAAGAATTATAAGCACATGGACATAGGGAAGGGAACATCACACACGGGGCCTGTTGGAGGGTGGGGGGACTAGGGGAGGAATAGCAGAGGGTGGGGGGATTGGGAAGGGATAACATTAAGAGAAATATCTAATGTAGATGACGGGGGAATGGATGCAGCAAACCACCATGGCATGTGTATACTTATGTAATAATCCTGCACGATCTGCATGTGTACCCCAGAACTTATAATTTTTAAAAATTATGGCAAGAAAAAGAATTATAAGCAGATGAGCAATGCTATTCTTTTTGCCCCTTTGAAGGGGCAGGTTTGGAGGGGAACAAGATAAGAAGCAGAGGCCGGGAATGATGGCTCACACATGTAATCCCAGCACTTTGGGAGTCCGAAGCAGGTGGACCACCTGAGTTCAGGAGTCCAAGATCAGCTGGCCAATGTGGTGAAACCTAGTCTCCACTAAAAATACAAAAATTAGCCAGGCATGATGGTGGGCACCTGTAATCCCAGCTACTTGAGAGGCTGAGGCAGGAGAATCACTTGAACCCAGGAGGCGGAGGTTGCAGTGAGCCAATATTGCGCCACTGCACTCAAGCCTGGGCAACAGAGACTTTGTGTCAAAAAAACAAAAAAAGCCAGAGCAATCAGGCAAGAAAAAGAAATAAAGGGTATTCAAATAGGAACGGAGGAAGTCAAATTGTCTCTATTTGCTGACGACATGATTGTATATCTAGAAGACACCATCGTCTCAGCCCAAAATCTCCTGAAACTGATAAGCAACTTCAGCAAAGTCTCAGGATACAAAATCAATGTGCAAAAATCACATGCATTCCTATACGCCAATAACAGACTTAAAGAGAGCCAAATCAATAACAAACTACCATTCACAATTGCCACAAAGAGAATAAAATACCTAGGAATACAACTAACAAGGAACGTAAAGGACCTCTTCAAGGAGAACTACAAGCCACTGCTCAACAAAATAAGAGAGGACATAAACAGATGGAGAAACATTCCATGTTCATGGTTAGGAAGAATCAATATCGTGAAAATAGCTATACTGCCCAAAGTAATTTACAGATTCAACGCTATCCCCATCAAGCTACCAATGACCTTCTTCACAGAACTGGAAAAAAACACTTTAAACTTCATATGGAACCAAAGAGAGCCCGCATAGCCAAGTCAATTCTAAGCAAAAAGAACAAAGCAGGAGTCATCACACTACCAGACTTCAAACTATACTACAAGGCTACAGTAATTAAAACAGCATGGTACTGGTACCAAAACAGAGATATAGACCAATGGAACAGAACAGAGGTCTCGGAGGCAACACAACATATCTACAACCATCTGATCTTTGACAAACCAGTCAAAAACAAGCAATGGGGAAAGGATTCCCTGTTCAATAAATGGTGTTGGGAAAGCTGGCTAGCCATGTGCAGAAAGCAGAAACTGGACCCCTTCCTGACACCTTACACTAAAATTAACTCCAGGTGGATTAAAGACTTAAACATAAGACCTAACACCATAAAAACCCTAGAAGAAAATCTAGGCAAAACCATTCAGGACGTAGGTGTAGGCAAGGACTTCATGACCAAAACACCAAAAGCATTGACAACAAAAGCCAAAATAGACAAATGGGACCTAATCAAACTCCACAGCTTCTGCACAGCAAAAGAAACAATCATTAGAGTGAATCGGCAACCAACAGATTGGGAAAAAATTTTTGCAGTTTACCCATCTGACAAAGGGCTGATATCCAAAATTTACAAAAAACTAAAGCAGATTTACAAGAAAAAAACTAACAAGCCCATTCAAAAGTGGGCAAAGGATATGAACAGACACTTTACAAAAGAAGACATACGTGAGGCCAACAAACATATGAAAAAATGCTCATCATCACTGGTCATCAGAGAAATGCAAATCAAAACTACATTGAGATACCATCTCACGCCGGTTAGAATGGCGATCATTAAAAAATCTGGAGACAACAGATGCTGGAGAGGATGTGGAGAAACAGGAACACTTTTGCACTGTTGGTGGGAATGTAAATTAGTTCAACCATTGTGGAAGACATTGTGGCGATTCCTCAAGGACATAGAAATAGAAATTCCATTTGACCCAGCAATCCCATTACTGGGTATATATCCAAAGGATTACAAATCGTTCTACTATAAGGACACGTGCACACGAATGTTCATTGCAGCACTGTTTACAATAGCAAAGACCTGGAACCAACCCAAATGCCCATCGACGATAGACTGGATAGGGAAAATGTGGCACATATACGCCATGGAATATTATGCAGCCATCAAAAACGATGAGTTTGGGTCCTTTGTAGGGACATGGATGAACCTGGAAACCATCATTCTCAGCAAACTGACAGAAGAGCAGAAGATCAAACACCGCATGTTCTCACTCATAGGCGGGTGTTGAACAATGAGAACACATGGACACAGGGAGGGGAGCACTACACACTGGGGTCAGTTGGGGGGAAATAGGGGAGGGACGGTGGGGGGTGGGAAGCTGGGGAGAGATAGCAAGGGGAGAAATGCCAGATGTAGGTGATGGGGAGGAAGGCAGCAAATCACACTGCCACGTGTGTACCTATGCAACAATCTTGCATGTTCTTCACATGTACCCCAAAACCTAAAATGCAATAAAATAAATAAATGG